AGATGTGGCGTAGTTTGGGCATTATGCTGAACTAACGAATAATTTGTAACCATATACGCTTGAAAAGGACCGAAAACACGGTCGAAACGTAGCGTTCTTTTAAATAAATTTGGCCAGTTGGATCGAGTAAACGACACTTACGTTGATTTCTTAATACACACTGGCGATTTAAAATTCCCATTTGATTGATTGTAAATTAACTTTTATTTATTGTTCAGAATTTGTAGAAAAAAAAAATAATTACTCGTTATTCGAAGTAAATCGCATAACAAATAAATTTTTATTCATTATTCACGAGTGACCAAATAACGAATAAATTTTTATTCATTATTTAATGGATAAAAAAATAACAAATAAATTTTTATTCATTATTCTCAATGAATAAGAAGATAATAACGAATACATTTTTATTTATTATTCAATGGATAAAAGAATTACGAATAAATTTTTATTCATTGTTCAATGTATAAGAGAATAACGAATACATTTTTATTTATCATTTAATGGATAAGAAAATAACAAATAAATTTGTATTTATCAATCGTCAATCATGGAATGTCATTCATGCCCATCCCTGTTTTGTAGGTTCTTCTCTCTTTATTTTTTAACAATATGTGATTACAATAATTTCTCGGTATTTCCGAAGCACAGAGCGGCTAACTCGCAATCAACGATGTTATTGCGATCAAAAAATTCGCTCTCGGGGCGTTCGCGGGATCCGTCACATCGCGGTGGCCGCGATAGCGATGAAGCGCGTCAGCTTTGCGTCGATCATGCCGGTTATCGCGCGCAACGAGGTCACTAGGCGATTGATGCAAAGGTCGAGGTCGAATGGAGCACGGTGTTCATTGAAACGATCATACGAGTCATGGAAGTTTCCAGGCGTAGGGTCGACAGATTATTAATCTTTCTAAATCGTAATGTTAAGGGCTTACACCTAAGTAGAATTTTGAAAAAATCGATTTTTTTGCATTTCTTAAAAATATATAGTTTCAAAAATATTGTGTTAAAATATTATTAAGAAATTCGAAGAATTGTAGAAGTTACGGAGGTTTTACTGGAGCGGGGCGGAGCGGAGCGTAGCGCGGTACCGCGCCTTTTTCGCCGATATCGCGAGATAGATCTCTCCTCTCAGGACTTCGTGTCCTTCGAGAAGCCTCTCCTCAAGTCGTCATCGGTTTAACAATAAATAACTAGTTCCGCGAATGTTTATTATTTGTATCTCGATTTTATTATTTTCGCTTGCCGATATTTATATTGTTTTTATATGTTATTCTACTTACATTTCTTATAAACGTTTTTACATGTTTTTTAGTCTTTCGTTATTTGTTACTTTTCTATTATTTAAGATTTAAGGTCTTTTGGCGGTTAAATATGTGACGATGTAATTGCCACAAGCCAATTATTCTGTAGCTTTGCAGTAGTGAACATCGTTGCGTTGTTTCGTAGTGAAATTTTTGTAAAACATGGAAGAAAATACAAAAATTACCCTCCACTCGAAAGTTTCAAGGGAAAGGAGAAAGTCAAGAGGAGCATATAAATGTCAACCAAAGAAAAGAAAACCTCCCAAGAATCAATATGAAATTGAAGCAGAAAATAATGAGTTGAGTACATCACCGAAGAAATTGCGAGCCAGTCATGTGTTAGAGCCCAGTATGAACGATAACATTGGTTACGTGATTTTAAATTTTGCAACAATTTTTTCATTTATTAGCGAACATGTGAAATGCAAAACATGTGGGAGTAATATTAGTTTTGCCAAATCATCAACACGTGGTCTCGGTTTCAAAGTGCAAATTCTGTGTCCTTCCTGTATGACTCAAAGCGTATCTTCGTGCCCGTATATATCAAATGCCTACGAAATAAATACGAGATTCATCTTCGCAATGCGGATGATAGGTATTGGATTAAGCGGAGCAAAAAAATTTTGTGGACTTATGGACCTTGCAAAGCTCATAGCTCATTGCCAGTCCTCGTATGATACGGTTGTAAATCGTATTTCAACTGCTTCAGAGGCTGTATTTGATTTAATTTCAAAAGAAAGTGTACAGGAAGAAAAAAATCACAGAAGCAAAAGAAAATAAAAAAAATGCGGAAATGACCGTGTCCGGGGATGGTTCGTGGCGCAAACGAGGATTCGATTCTTTATATGGGGTTACAACAATTATTGGACATTATGGTAAACATCCCGTTTAGGGGACCCACCTCCGATGGTCTTGACCTTGACATATGTTGTCAAGGTCACCCTCCTGAATGACCTTCAGAAGGTTTTAGTCGGGGGTCGCTTTTTATTAAAAAGTTATTAACAAAAAAAGTTTGAAAAATATAGCAGCTATTTTGAGTATTGGAAGACATAAATGACTAATATATATGTCGAAATAGTTCACGCATACACTTTTCACGCGAACCGAGGTTCACCCACACCCCCCCCTGCTTTCGGGGGAGGTGCGGTAGCCCCGAAATAGTTTACGCATGGGTTAGTTGACGCGCTTTAAACAATTAAATACTGTTAAAGCGCGTCATCTAACCTATATAAATTATAGTGACGCGTTTTAAACAATTAAATACTGTTAAAGCGCGTCATCTAACCTACATAGGTTAGATGACGCGCTTTAAACAATTAAATACTTTTAAAGAGCGTCATCTAACCTATGTAGATTAGATGACGCAATTTAAAAATATTTAACTGTTTAAAACGCGTCACTAATCTACAAAAACGGGGGGTGGGGGTGAACCTAGGTTCGCGTGGAAAGTGTATGCGTGAATTATTTTGACATATTTATTAGTCATTTATGCCTTCCAATACTCAAAATAGCTGCTATATTTTTCGAACTTTTTTTGTTTATAACTTTTTAATCAAAAGCGACCCCCGACTAAAACCTTCTGAAGGTCACTCAAGAGGGTGACCTTGACAACATATGTCAAGATCAAGGCCATCGGAGGTGGGTCCCCTAAACGGGATGTTTACCGACATTATACTGGCAAAGTTCTTAATTTGTTTATAAATTCCAAAATTTGCAAGGCATGTGAACAATGGACTGGACTGGAGGAAACAGCAGATTATGAAGAGTTTCGGGAACAGCATGCACCCAATTGTCAGATCAATCACACAGGATTCTCTGGAAAGATGGAGGTAGAAGGAATGTGTCACATGTTTCAACGATCAGAAGAAAAATACGGTGTCAAATACGTTAATTACATAGGCGATGGAGACTCCAAGACTTTTCCAGCAATAGTTAATAGCAATCCTTATCCTGGCATAATAATGTTGCGCTCGCCGAGTCGTTCGTTCACTCACGCACGCTCACACTCCCGACGCTCACGGAAATAACAGAAACACTGCAGTTATAACAAGAATAATCTCAATGTTTATTATAACGTCGCGATACAGGAGAGCGTGGACCACGTCCGCACGGTCCAGCAGCTCGAGAACAAATCTATCAGCTGTTACATTAAATCAATAAAATCAATAACTGGCTCGTTACTAAGGACAGGCTACATTCGACTTTCCGTGGCACGCTTCAGCTCGGAAAGGTATACCGGGCGGTATGCACGCAACACTATAACAAAAAAAGAATGTATTGGACATGTACAGAAACAAATGAGTACGAGACTTCCAAATTTGAAGAAAAAAACCACAGGACTTGGTGGAAAGGACAAATTGACAGAGAAATTAATCGATGAACTTACTCGTTATTATGGCCTTGCAATACGACGTAATTGCCACTCACTTGAAGCAATGAAAAATGCTGTTATGGCTACTTTTTATCATTTACAGTCAATTGACCAAAAGCCGCAACATGACTTGTGTCCGACAGGAAAAGATTCTTGGTGTAAATGGCAAAAAGCAAAGGCTTTGAATAAACTAGACAGTTTTCACCATGCACCCGCGCTTCATCCAGATGTTGTAAAAGCTATCGAGCCAATATACAAGGATTTATCTTCAGACGAACTTCTAGAAAAATGCGTGGGAGGTTTTACACAGAACAATAACGAGAGCTTCAATAACGTCTTTTGGCGCATAGCACCCAAAATCACCCACAGCGGCTGCTGTATTATGAGAATTGCTTCTTACAAAGCAGCCTGTACATTTAATGCAGGAAGCAAATCATATCTGCAAGTCATGGAATACTTGGGTATTAAAGTTGGACCAAATGTTAACAGTTACTGTAAGGAAGCAGATGAAAATCGTCTTCATCAGGCCGAGATCCAAGCCGTGAATGCAACACGGAAAGGAAGAATTTTTCGTAAACAATTGCGAGCAACTGATGCTAAAAACCTGCTTGAAATCGAAGGACTTTTATATGGCCCCGGAATCGCTGACTAAAGGTAAAAAAAAAAATTTTTTTTAACAATTTTATTATTTAACAAAAAAAATTTTTTTTTAAATTATTATTAATAATTTCGAGTCAAAATGAAACTTTTTCGTCTCTTGCATTTTTTTCGTAAGACGAGCCGTTTTCAACTTATAGCATTATAAACAATTAATGATACTCCAAATCTGTTCTCAAACTTTAAACGCGTTTTTCTCAAAACATGGTTTTAAAAAACGGTGTTCACGATATCTCGAGAACGGATATTCTTGGATGCTTCGTCTAATTAGCTACGATCAGACTTTTATAAACTTTTTTTTACAAATGTTTAAAAAATGCATTGGTAACTTGAAAAAATAGGTCAAAAATCGACTTCAAACTTCAAACAACCGCCATTTTTCAAATTTTTTTTAAATTTTTTTTGGCTCGTAGTTAACTGTCTTGTATATCACTAATTACGAATTTAATGCCTATTTTTGTTCCAGATGACGTGACAACCCAAAATGGTGAACACCGCAAAAAAACGGGGCTTACGCTGACGCCAATAAACAATATTTATTGTTGATAAATTTTAATTAAAAAATTTATAAACGTACTAGAATACATGCTCTTTTTAACAAAAACAAAAGTTTTTGAATAATGCAATTATTTCCCGAGAAAAAAATTCCCAAAATATGGTCACTTTACTCAGGTGTAAGCCCTTAAGTGTCCGTTTTCGATGCACATCGGTGGTGGAACGCGCTCGTTCTTGCCGCGCTGTAGGTGGGACAACACCGCGCGTTTTTGATCGACGAGTTTCTTCCACGTTCCAGGCGAGAGCGAGATCTCCTTGCCGTAGCAATCCCCTATGACAATGTGTACGTAGCACGGGAGGACGGCTGTGATACCGACGTCTATGAATTTGTATCGCGTCTTAGTTAATAGGTATCTTCTTTCCAGAATTCGCACCGGATGACGTTCGACGTCGCGTTTCGAAGTACTGACGTTGTCGTCGTCGTGACTGGAGATAGAAAAAAAATTATTGTTATATTGTAGGCGAGCGATACGTCGCAAACTACGGACGTAGAGATACGTCCGGGAGTCGACGTTGCTCCGATTCGGAAACGGAGTCTCTAATTCCGTCGATTGCTCGTTGACTCTTCTATTTTTCGCGCTACCGACACCGTTCTTGAGATCGTCGTCGGATTGGCGCTGTTCAAAATACGGGGCGTGTAACGTCGAGCACATCTTTCTCTTTATTTTTTTCTCCATTGTCGCTGTGCGGTTGACGGATCACGCGAGATTGAGTCATTCGAAGGAAATCAAGGTGGAATATAGTTTGAAAAAATAAATTACGATTCCCCTCTTTTCATTAATATTCTCAGGAGCGGTACGTAAAAGGGGGGGTTACGTCGAATCGTTCTATTCTTTCTCTTCTCTATTCGACGTCTCCCTTGCGTCAATTCGAACGAATTGACTCAATAGATCTCGCAGTTGCATCATCAGTCCGTCTCTCGGGCACGTACTCTCAAGTGTCTTAAATCGTGCTCTAATACTTTTATCGATAATCTCAGGAGGAAATGCGTTATTATTGAAAAGGACCCGATCCAGGGGTCGAAACGTCGCAGCGTTTTGTATACATTGCCAATTAGTCAATAATAATAAATGTTTCTTGATTAAAAGTTTTAATAAAGTTATAATATTACATATATTATGTGTATTTACGATAAAATATTTATTTTGATTTCTTAAACATTTCAGTTTAATCCACCAAATTCGACAGAGTGTGGAAGTGATCTTTGTATATCACAACTAAATAAGATATATCCCCAAGGAGAGGAAAAAGTGCCATTAAATAAAAAATCAGATGAACTACTTATAATGTCTTTCAACTTTTTTAATTATAGTGCACAACCAGATCTACTATTTGACACAAAAAACCAAGACTACAAGAGATTCTTTGGTAAATCTTATTGTTAAATCGGTAATTATTTAGAAATGGAGCTTTTTTTCTCAATTTTGACATTTTTTGCGGCAAAATGTTCTTGGCAAAAAGCCTTGTTGTGACTCCAATAACGATAATCAATCGGGGGAAGTCGAAGAATATGTGATCTACCTATTTTTTCAGCACATACAAGCATTAATTGAAATATGAGTTTAACTTCATACTTTGAACTTTATTTGAATATTGAAGTAAATGCTTGGGCGGAGAAGGGGTTCCAAGGGAACCCCATTCTGAAAAGATCTAACCCAGCCCAAACCAAATATGCAAATCAAGTTTAAACTGTGCAGTTAAATACACGTTTATCGTATGTTTAATTGTTATATTTACCTAAATTATAGCTTTTTACCAAAAGAAAACGCTAATTGAGAAAAGATTCTAAAATTAATTAAAAAATATAATTTTCTTGTCTTCCCTGTACAATTATTCTACTTGACAACAAAATATATTCTTTCACAAAAAAATTGAAAAACTTCCAAATTAAAAAAGGCCCTAATTATTTATAAATAATTGCCATTAAATCCAACATGACAAAAACATATTTTTAATAAATTATATTATACTTCTATTTTCTTAATACAACTTCTGTGATGTTGATATTGTAATGATTAAATATTATTTATTATTATCTTTGCAAGATAATTTTTTATGAGAGAGAACCACGTGAATTCCTTTTTTTACGCAAGTTTTTAAGTAATTTTTTAATTTTCTCTTGAAATATATAAACATCACAATATTTACAATACAGTCGACACTCTTTCTTCGCGGATTTATTATTCGCGGATTCGCTATTTGCGGTCAACATATTTGTGACCACATTTTTTTATCCGCGGATAGATATTTCAATATTCGCGGATGTAAATAATCATCGAAAAAAATTTATCATGCTTATATACAATAAACTAAAAAAAAAATGAATTTAAAGTCCTATACTAAGAGTTTCCACATCATGTCTTTACTTTAAACAATTTATTTGTAAACAATTATTTAATTATCTTATTTATGTCTTTTATTAACTTAGCGCATATTTATTTTTACTGTCTTTCTTTTAACCTTATTTAATCTTTGACGTCCGTCGGATTCAGTTGTTTATTGTAACGTTAAGCTTTTATTTTGTACATTGACGCATAATTTATTTTTCTCTATTTTCTCGTGCTCTAGCTTTTTGGTTGCATTGGGTGAGTGAATTTGTATTCTACATCTACATTATTAAGCAAGTTAATACTGTTGCATCTGCGCTGAGCTCGAGCGAGACGCCCGGTACACGAGAATCGCAAAGCGTCTTTAGCAACGAGCCGGATTGATTAAATAACGACCGTCAGATTTGTTCTCGAGCCGCTGGACCGTTCGGACGTGTGTCCGCGCTCATATCTTCTTGTTTCAAGACTTTAATAAACGTTGAGACTGTTTCCCTTTTACACGGGGTTTACACAAACTAATTAAAAGACTGAAAAAAGTGATGCCACTTAAAATAAAAGTAGAATTGCTAAATAGATTGCGTGGAGAATCTTTTGCTTCTGTCGCGCGTGCTTACAATGTAAATAAGTCGACTGTACGATCAATTAGGAAATTAAAAGAAAAAATTAGAAATTCCATGGTTTCTGCTTCTGAAATCACTAAAACGGGAAGAGATCCTGCTATTGAGAAAATGTAGCGTTAAACTTGTGGATTGAGAACAGGAACCAAAAAAGAGTGCCGTTGAGTGGTGCAACCATACGAGAGAAAGCAAAGCGATTGTATCAACACTTTAAGCAAGTTTCTAACAATGACAGTTTATCGTTTTCCGAATTCCAAGCATCTGAAGGCTGGTTTATCTTTAAAGAGCGGCAATCGTTACATAACGACTTATTTTTGTGATGACAGTTTTTTAAAAGGAAATTCTTTTTATTTTTAAAAATTATTTTTCTTTAAGTGCAGTTTCCGGCCGAAGAGTGAGTCCTACGAAAAAATAAAAGAAATCTTATTTGTGTTGAATTTATAGACAAATAACTTTCATTACCAAATACCGATTAATCGTTTGATTATTTTTTCCTTCCTGGAAAAATTCGAATATCTCCTTTAAGTGATTGCTTGTGCCCAGAAAATTTGTACCATTATCCGATTAGATCACTCGAGCTCTGCCACGGCGTGCGAAAAAACGTTTTAGACAGGCTATAAAAGCCTCGGTGGTCAGATCGCCAACAATTTCCAGATGAACAGCCTTGACAGCCAAGCACACAAACACGGCGACGTAAATCTTAATTTTATTACGGTTACGATGCTTTTTCTCCTTAATAAAGAATGGGCCGCAGAAATCAATACCAACATTTTCAAAAGGTCTCGAGCCTGCAAATCTAACCCTAGGCAAATCGCCCATCTGATACTCAGGAGTCGAGGGGCGCCAACGAGAACACACTACACATTTTCGGATTACTCCTTTGACGCGGTTTTTTCCGTTTACCAGCCAATAATTTTCTCTAATTGCATACAAGGTCGCCTGACTTCCGGCATGACAAAGTTTGATATGAGTCTCGCGAATTATCAACTCGGAAACGTGATTGTTAGCTGGCAATAAGATAGGATGTTTCTGAGCAAAAGTCAGATCCGCGTGACTCAATCGACCCTCGACTCGGAGTACCCCATCGACATCCAAAAACGGGCTAAGAGACAATATCCTACTTTTCTTGTCTAACAGACGCTTCTCACGCAAACTACGCAGCTCGCTCTCGAAGGCTGAGAGTTGGACTAATCTCATAATACGCATCTCGGCGTCACCCAAATTCCCGACGCTGAGGTCCCCCGAGGCGACCTCCAAGGAGCGACACTTAGAAGCGAATCGTATACAGCGCGCTATGACTCTTTTTATCTTAGCAAAGGATGAAAACCTTAGAAACAGATCCGTATCGACACCGTGAACGTTTGACAGGACAACAATTGAGCGCTGTTCCGGAATTTCAATACTAGGTATTAAATTCAGCGGCCAAGCAGCTTCATCCTTGGATAGCCAACACGGTCCACTTTTCCAAATGGGGTTGTTGACAAATTCGCGGGGAAACTGTCCTTTTGACAACGCATCTGCGGGATTGTCCTGAGACGGCACGTGTCTCCACTTTCTATGCTGCGTGTTCTCCTGAATGTGCGAAACTCGGTTCGCAACAAAGGTCTTCAATCTGTGTGGTGAAGTTTGGATCCAATGGAGCGCGATCGTAGAGTCCGACCAAAAAAACTCTTTCTCTATCTCAATTTTAAGTGACTTGATAGTGGCTCCGCGCAATTTACCAAGAAGATCCGCCGCGCTCAATTCAAGCCGGGGTAAAGTTACTTTCTTGATTGGCGCTACCCGCGTTTTGGAACAAATTAATCGAACAGTGTGGATCCCCAAAAAAGTTGTAGATCTCAGATATAGCACTGCTCCATAAGCCCTTTCGCTTGCATCGCAGAAACCATGTAACTGGACATTGATTACATTCTCTGTTGTGACTTGACGAGGAACGATGAAGTTATTTAGGAGCTCGACTTGCTCCCTGTATTTGCTCCAGGAGGTAGCGATGTCCACAGGAACGGATTCATCCCAATAATCCAGCTTATCCTCCCACAGCCGCTGCAGCATAATCTTTGCCTTCACGATAACAGGACCAACCAGTCCAAGAGGATCGAAGAGTGAGGCAACCTGGGAAAGCATGGTTCTCTTTGTTGTTCGCTGGTGCTCGGTAAACGGTTTTACGACGTGAATTAAATGGTCTTCACGGAGATTCCAGTAAATACCGAGGGTCTTCTGAGTTTCAGACTCACTCAAACAAATGTGAGGGTCCAAGGATTGATCCAGTAGTAGCT